TATTTTATTGTCACATCACCCAGTTGTGTTCTTTTCCAATGTGATACCCACCTAAAACAAAGAAAAAAAAGAAAATGACTTGAGATCAGGTACGGCCTGAGTCACGTGGTCTCGGTCCTCGTTCTACAGCCTGACTCGTGGATCTACTACAGCTCGTCCGTCCGTTGGAGCGGATCTCTACAATTATATACAACTAACTTGCTCTCAGTTTCTAGATCACTAGTTTGAACCACAGACTGTATATAAATGAACAATACTAACAATAGGGAAGTGCTCATGGACAAAGTTTTGCTGGCTCCTATTGACTTACATGTAAAAATAAATTCCCCTAACTCAGTAACCGTTTTGGTCACATTCACTATTTGGGCTTAAGTCTGTGGTTTAGTGCTCTTTCTGATCCTGGTGTGTACTTTTTAATTGTATCTTAGGGTTAGGGTAAGACAATATCTGATCCTTGTCTACGGATCAGAATCCCAAATTAAGGCTTACTCTAAGGTGATGTCACACTCGGCCAGTCCATTTCTAATATACGGCCTGTGGTTTTCATTTTCACATGCATTTTTGTCCACCGTCACTCCGTTGGATAGAAAAGTTGAAAAAAGAGAGGTTTCAACAACAGAGTGTAACCAAAATCCTCGTTCATCTAAATGGATCTTACTTCAGTCATCAGGTTCAAACAAAACATAAAAAGAGTCTCTGGTGTGAAACAAACACACATGCGGGTCTAAACTGCACATGACTGAGCAGATTTATTAAAACATTCCTGTTGGATGTCTGTGTGGGTGGCTCACATGTAATCTCCCTCATGAGGTGATGTGGAGCGGCTCCAACACAAACCTTTCTCTCCGACAATCCTGCGCCACGGTCTGTATGTCCGCCGCTCTCCTCCTGCTCTCTTCCCCCTTTCCCCCGTCTCCCCTACCCACACTGCTCGACATGGAGCCTGGATCTGTGGTAACAACAGGCGAGGGTGAGTAAGGTCACAACGTTCTGGAGTTTACTTCTATTGTTGGATTGTTGCTTTAATAATAATATGCATTGGTGCGGCAACCAGTCTGTGCCATCACCCCCACCCACCACCAACAACCATTCACACACACACCAGACTCATTCTAATGTGGTGAAGTGTCTTGCCTAAGCACACAACAACAGTCCGGCATTATACAGCTGCAGCCGCCCACTGTGGCACCTGGTGTTCCAGTTATGGTTGAATTAACATGTAAATGGCTGGTGGTGGTGGGAGGGGCCAATGGGACATGTCCACAGGGCAGCTGTGTGATTATAGGCCTTTACCAAATGGTTGAGATGCAGTTTAATGGTAAAAGCGCCTAAAACCAAGTGAGACGCCCCAAAGTGGTAGATTTCAGTACCAGGCTTCAAGTAGATATAGTGATTGTTGATAGTTGAGGAAGCCATTAAAGGGTTAGAATATTCTTTCACAAATAACAAAAAAAATCTCAAATTAACCTTTAACCCGGCCAGTTTTATTGCTGAACATGCAACACTTGGTGAGAGAAAGGAACTGGTGGAAAATGCCAGCAATAGTCACACAGAGGAAACAAAGAGAAGTCTCGCAGGTAAGAGGAATTTTAAAAGGTTTTTCAAAAGTAAAGGATCCTGTTCTGTACTCTCCCTGACAGCTCATCTGAATCAGCTGTTGGTTTTTGAGAATGTTTACTTTGTCTGCTTTGGACTTTTGCGGCTAAGGTTCTTATTGAAGGCAGAGAGGAGGTGGGGTCTGGTGAAGGCAGAGAGGGGGTGGGGTTTCCAACAGTAGCAGGGTTGAAGCGGCCGCCTGCTGAGATGTGACACAACCTGAAATAGTTTAACACAATATCTATGACCTCTGCACAAACACCACTCTGACAAGTGTTGAACATAGACAGATCTTGTGCCGTGGATCAGTAGCCTGGCTTCCCCACACCCTCCCTCTGTTCTAACTCCAGCAGAAAGATCAATTCAATTCAATTTATTTTTGTGTAGCCCTAAATCACAACAGTATTTATCTCGGAGGACTTTACAATTAGCCAAAACAGATCAGAGAATCAAACAGTTAAAACACAGGAAATGCAATGATAAAGAGCCATTGGTCCATGAGGGCAGATGAATCAATGTCCATAAATGTTGTTCAATGTCCAGTGTCCTGGATCAGACCCTCCTACATCTGCAAGGAACAACTCAAGGAGGCCCACATTGAGGGGCGGATTCGCTCCCACGGACGGACAGACTGTAGATCCAGGACTCAGGCTGAAGACCGAGAACTGAGGCCATGCGATGCAGGACTGAGGCAGCTTCCAGGTGAGGAGGGGGTGCAGCTCATGAGTCCAGGCCGGGGAAGACCGCCCACAGGTGCCAAGTATGTATGGGATCAGTTTGATAGATTCCTACTTAACTCCTTCTCCCCGTTCTTGATGCAAACAATCTGCCTATAAATTATAAGATAAAATCCTTAAATTCCTGCGCTCGCCATAAGCCTTTTCATGCTAAGCCCAGTCCCTGCATTGCCGGTGACAGGGTCCGACTTATTCACAAATCCACTCCTAATATACAGCCTATGGTTTCCACACTCATTCATGTAGCAATTTATATCTGAAATATGACAAGCTAAGTAGAGCTGTTCCCCCACAGTAGGACCACAGGGAGACGAGCTGACCGCTGAGTCCAGCTAATGGGGATCCAAGCTTTAACCATCTCATCCATATATTTTATGCTTAAACAATGGTATCAAATTTGAAATGATGAAAGGCCAAATTATTATTTTTTTTATCAAGGCCATGATAAAAATCAATAATATATATATATTTTTTTGGGCTTTTTTGCAGATCTCTGGATTTTTTTTTTATCTTGAGGCATGTGGTGACAGTTTTTGGAGTAATTACATAAAACCAGCCGCAGCAAATACACGGACGTCAAAGGCCTTTTATCAATGCAGAGACGCCCTTCTGACGCCATGCTGAGCTTTGTGAGGGCCCCCTGCTGTCTGTCACACCCTTGTGTCTTTCGTATCTTGAATCGGTATGCCTGCTCCTATCCATATGTCCCTGCTGCCAGGAAGGAGCCGGGTCCCCCCCGACACCTACAGACAATGGCTATCACTCTTGCCCCCTTTCACCTCTTGCATATGTATCGGTCTGTATGTGTGCACTCTCTACATCCTGCAGTCTGTTTGCATCCCTATGCGCCTCCTGCACCGGTGGCCCCCCTCCCATCTGTTGTGGGCGGGACTGGCTTTCGTGTGTGTCTTGTATACAGGAAGCTCGGGGCTCTGGCCCCCAGAGCTAGTACATGCTGCCTTGTGTATGTGCTGACTCTCCGTACGTATGTTAACAATAAACTTACGCTTTTGATCAGACAAAGACCTTTGAGTTTGCTCCTTCATGGGGTATATAATTCTATAACAATTTGGCGTTGCTGACATGTCTTGGCATGGATACTTTCGGCGGGGACGAGCGGCTTTGTTTGGCCGACCTGGATCACCAGCCTCTGTTCCTTTTTGGAGACAAAGGAGGGCGCGCTCGTCCCGCGCACGGAAGGAATCCTTTTGCCACACAAGACCAAAAAGAACCTAATCTGGTGAGTCTTGTCTTTTCATCTGCGTAACGAGCCCAGGGCAGCCCTTAAGTGTACACGGGGATTTGTTTATTTATGTATTTTTGGGGTATTTCATTCATTGCCACAGCATAGTCTGTGTGCGGGATTTTTTGGGGGGTTTTTTGTTCTAGATTGAAGCTAGCGGCTGCGCGTTAGTATCGCATTGTAAGCGACCCTGGAATCTCTGAGTGTCTTCAGCCAGAACCGCTCCGTTTTCAAGAACGCGCGCTCGCTGGTTGAACCAGCGGGGGGGGGAACGGAGCGCCCCAAAGTGGGTAAGAGCAGGGAGAGACTAAGCGGGTTAGGCCCATTGTTCGTACGAGAAAATGGGTAAAATCAATCTACAGATGCAAGCTATGAAGTGCTTGCCTATGGTGCAGGTCATCTGCGTGATAATTTAGAAGAAGAAGGGAAGAAAAAAAATATACTTGGTTTTAAGAATATCACGGCAAAAGAGGTTAGAGAAAGAAATATGTAAAAACAATAGCTCCTCCGCCTTTCACCAAAGCGGAGAACACACAGGCGCACACACACGCCCTCTCTCACCTACTAACCCTTTCACACTAGGAGCAGAACTCCATGCTAAGTACGCGCCCAAACAAGGCGTTGGGTTTTTAAAAAATGAAGCAGACTACTGTTGTCTCTTTTCCCTCTCCCTTATCCAGGTCTGTCGGCGCCTTTCCTCCGCGCTCTGTCCTCTGCCTCAAAGCACCAGCCCCACGCCCCAACCACAGGCGGCGCCCGCACCAGCTGAGACCCCGCGAGAAGTGGGCCCAAACCGCAGAAGAAGAAGAGGCGGAAACAGACACACGCTCAGGAAACCACAGAAGAAGTGGGGGAAGCAAATATGTGAGACACCGACAACTGCTCTGGAGCACAGAGAGAAACTGCTCCAAATCCCGTGACTGTTCTCCACGGAGGGGGCAGCGTGATATACCAAACGCACCCGCGGAAACCCGCTTGAAAGTTGTTCCCGCACCGCAAACAGAAGAAGCCATTGTGACCGGCACGTTTGGGTCATTCACCAACCCTCATGGACCACATGCTAACGCTTTGGGCTACCTGGGCCTCCTGCGGACTTTGAAAAACTTCCACAGCCCGGCGGAAAGACTGTGGCTGTGTCCAAAACGCTAGGCATCGGGCCGCGTAGGGTGGATATGTAGGCATCGTGACGTCACTTCCGCAAGCGACGGCTATTGCAGGGGTGTCCAAAACCACTTGGCGAGCTCGCCAAGCGTAGGCATCATGACTTCGTCTCTATGGAAACGGCCACTTTTGGAGCAGATATGAAGGATGCATCTGATGTATGCTTCGTTGCCTTCTTTTTGCCAAGTCACGGCCGCGCATGCGCAGAACTCCGTTCGGCATTAACATGTAAACAACAGCTCGGACCTGCTGGAGCTAACATTATGGTAAGCACTGCTATACTTTACTGTGAAGTTATGTCTATAGTAAGTACTGCTATACTTTACTGTTGAGTTATGAACACGACTGTTATGATAAAACACAGACATAAATTTAGATCTGCCACAGATGTGTGTATTTAACCTTGTTATCTGCTGTAAATAAGCTCAGTCCCGAAAAGCTAATGCTACGAGGCTAGTTCATTCAGATTCGGTTTTTGAACAAGAAAAATCATGTTGTGTTTTATCTTTTAGGGAGAAACAAACCCACTGATTAAATATTAAAGCTACACTGAGGAAAGTCACGTTTTCATGGAAAATCACTCTGCAGCACAGCAGCTATAGTATGCTAACACATGTTTTCTGTATTCATATAAAATAGATTGTGCATATAGTTTTTAATCCCACACTGAGACTGGGAAAACTGTATATATTAGACATATGAAATTATAGAATAGGCCAAGAATAATTATAAAGCCCTTTTCATACAATAGTCTAATAAATAGTAAACACACATTATACAGAGGTTTCGTTTGTCATTAATAAGACATTTGCAGAGGACAAAGTCCCACTTCCACAAACACAGGTTTAAAGTGGTTAGCCATGCTCATAACTTGATTATTTGTGTATATTTCTATCATATCATTCTTCTGTTTCCCCTGCTGTGAAACTTGTATCTCTAATATTAAATACTGTAAGGATTTCTGTATTTTATTTTTAACCAGTTTTTTGCAAAGCCCCAAATAAATAGTATTAATTGAATATGAAGTGTAAAAAGAATCCTAAATGTGGGCTGTGTTTTAATGCATGATGTTTGTGTTCTTCTTTTTCAGAGACTTGTGGTGAAATTAAGGTCATAATTTCTCCAGCATCACCTCCATCACCTCCTGCTTCACCTCCATCACCTCCTGCTTCACCTCCATCACCTCATCACCACATTATGAACTACAACAAACTTGTATATAATATTTTCCTTTAATCAGCAATCATGAATAGTTAGAACAGTGGGCTCTGCATCAAGACATGTAGCAGAAGGAGCAGCAGCAGAAGGAGCAACAGGAGGAGTAACAGGAGGAGTAACAGCTGCAGCAGAAGGAGCAACAGGAGGAGTAACAGCTGCAGCAGAAGGAGCAACAGGAGGAGTAACAGCTGCAGCAGAAGGAGCAACAGGAGGAGTAACAGCTGCAGCAGAAGGAGCAACAGGAGGAGTAACAGCAGCAGCAGAAGGAGCAACAGGAGGAGTAACAGCTGCAGCAGAAGGAGCAACAGGAGGAGTAACAGCTGCAGCAGAGGGAGCAACAGGAGGAGTAACAGCAGCAGCAGAAGGAGCAACAGGAGGAGTAACAGCTGCAGCAGAAGGAGCAACAGGAGGAGTAACAGCTGCAGCAGAGGGAGCAACAGGAGGAGTAACAGCAGCAGCAGAAGGAGCAACAGGAGGAGTAACAGGAGGAGTAACAGCTGCAGCAGAAGGAGCAACAGGAGGAGTAACAGCTGCAGCAGAAGGAGCAACAGGAGGAGTAACAGCTGCAGCAGAGGGAGCAACAGGAGGAGTAACAGCTGCAGCAGAAGGAGCAACAGGAGGAGTAACAGCTGCAGCAGAAGGAGCAACAGGAGGAGTAACAGCTGCAGCAGAGGGAGCAACAAGAGGAGTAACAGCTGCAGCAGAAGGAGCAACAGGAGGAGTAACAGCTGCAGCAGAAGGAGCAACAGGAGGAGTAACAGCTGCAGCAGAAGGAGCAACAGGAGGAGTAACAGCTGCAGCAGAAGGAGCAACAGGAGGAGTAACAGCTGCAGCAGAGGGAGCAACAGGAGGAGTAACAGCTGCAGCAGAAGGAGCAACAGGAGGAGTAACAGCTGCAGCAGAAGGAGCAACAGGAGGAGTAACAGCAGCAGCAGAAGGAGCAACAGGAGTAACAGCAGCAGCAGAAGGAGCAACAGGAGGAGTAACAGCTGCAGCAGAAGGAGCAACAGGAGGAGTAACAGCAGCAGCAGAGGGAGCAACAGGAGGAGTAACAGCTGCAGCAGAAGGAGCAACAGGAGGAGTAACAGCTGCAGCAGAAGGAGCAACAGGAGGAGTAACAGCTGCAGCAGAGGGAGCAACAGGAGGAGTAACAGCTGCAACAGGAGGAGTAACAGCTGCAGCAGAAGGAGCAACAGGAGGAGTAACAGCAGCAGCAGAAGGAGCAACAGGAGTAACAGCAGCAGCAGAGGGAGCAACAGGAGGAGTAACAGCAGCAGCAGAAGGAGCAACAGGAGGAGTAACAGCAGCAGCAGAAGGAGCAACAGGAGTAACAGCAGCAGCAGAAGGAGCAACAGGAGTAACAGCAGCAGCAGGAGCAGCAGCAGCAGGAGAAGCAGCAGCAGCAGGAGCAACAGCAGCAGGAGCAACAGCAGCAGGAGCAGCAGCAGGAGTAACAGGAGGAGTAACAGCAGGAGTAACAGGAGGAGTAACAGCAGGAGCAACAGCAGCAGGAGCAACAGCAGCAGGAGCAGCAGCAGAGTCCTGGGCCTCTGCCTCTGACACAGGTCTCATCGACAGCACTTCACAGAGAACCTGGAAATAAAGAAAACAAATCAAACTTGTTGGTTTTATTATGATTTTGTTGTTTGTGTGAAATGTAAAGAGTCATCAAAGTGAGGTATTATTTACACAACTACATATTTGTCAGCAATACTTATACTTATAATTGAATACATTAAACTCAAATGTGATTAGTAACGGTCTGTTAGCTTTTCAAGAGATATAAAAGTGAATAAGAGCAGTGTCAAACATCTGTGTTCAACTTCATTTTACAGATGTCTGTTAATGTTTCCATGGATGTGTCAGTTATTATTATAGATCCATGGATGTGTCAGTTATTATTATAGATCCATGGATGTGTCAGTTATTATTATAGATCCATGGATGTGTCAGTTATTATTATAGATCCATGGATGTGTCAGTTATTATTATAGATCCATGGATGTGTCAGTTATTATTATAGATCCATGGATTTTCCAGTTATTATTATAGATAAATGGATGTTCCAGTTATTATAGATAAATGGATGTTCCAGTTATTATTATAGATAAATGGATGTTCCAGTTATTATTATAGATCCATGGATGTGTCAGTTATTATTATAGATCCATGGATGTGTCAGTTATTATTATAGATAAATGGATGTTCCAGTTATTATTATAGATAAATGGATGTTCCAGTTATTATTATAGATAAATGGATGTGTCAGTTATTATTATAGATAAATGGATGTTTCTCTCTCATCAGCAAACACACGTTAATACATTTAGGTCTGATAAAATTACTTTTAAGTGATGCACAAACGAGGGCCATAGCAAATATATAATCCATATCTAATAATCATTTATTGCATATATGTGCATTGTTTACATAAAATATAACTTTGTAAAAACTAATGATTACTGCCAATACAATTGTTATAACAGAGAAAGTGTAACAACAAAAGCATCCTCTGTTTTTTCAGAATACGATTGTAAACATCCAGGGGGCTCTCATTATGTGAACCCGTGTTTAGACAGCCTGTTCTGGGCTTCAGCACTGCAGCTAACTGGGCTGTTAGCTTATAGCACCGGAGCTTCAGGCTGGAGGTAAAGTCCGAACATTTTCGAATTTATCTCCAAACAGACTTCTGATATGACAATAGAGGGGGATATTTCTCGCCTCAAATGATATTAGAATTAACTTTTATGTCCTAATTAAAGCGTATTTAGAACTTTTTACCGTCCATCATGGCCGCCGTGTCCTTCCGCTCCGCTCTGAGTTGTGTAGTCACGTGACGAAGGCAGAAGGCAGCTGCTGTCCAAATCCACATCACGTCTCGCCTCCTACCTCGCCTGTGGCTACGCGGCCTTCCCTCGATGCCTACATATCCACCCTATGCGGCCCGATGCCTAGCGTTTTGGACACAGCCTGTGTGCTCGACATGGGTCGAAGACCGTTATCTTGAATATTGAGCTTGCAAAATATCATCAATATAACCTTATTATGAATATCAGGGTTTGGTAGCTGGCATATCTCTTAACTGTTTATTAACCATTGCGTTATTTGACTCGCTTGTTGAACTACTAAAAGCAGAACTTCTGCAGAACTACCGAAGGGCCTTGCTAGTGATTTGCGATGCCTCTCTGCAGCGTCCTGTGGCCAGGGGGGGGGAATTCTGAAACATAACTCACTGCAAGAACATGGCGGTACGCTCGAACCTGTAGGATTCGTGACAGGAGGACACATAGGACCGGTCAAGAGAAAAGATAAATTTTGGCGCAGCAATATGCTTAAAACGGTAAGATGGTTTACCCCATACTAATTAATCGTATCCTTTTCACCTGACCAGAGACCTAAAAATAAAAAAACCAAACAAACATAAAGTTAGGAGTATAAAATCTAATAAAGACAATATGAAGGATTTGCATGCAAGGAATTTTAATTTATTCCGAGGGATAATAGGTAAATGCTACAAGTCTAAGTGACTTAATGACAAGGAAGACAAAACATTGTGAGTTGTCTCTCAGTGAATTGTATAGTCAACGCTAAAAGGACCTGTGTGAGGAACTAAGGATGATTTATGAGGTTCATATAGGATGCGAACTGCAGTGTCATCTCAGATGGATTTAATCGTTGAGAGAAGGAGAAAACTTGTGAGTTTTTTAATTTACTTGACAATAAGGGAAATCGGCACAGAGGGACAGTGTCTAAACTTTTCTCACTTTAATTTGTTCTTCTTTGGTGTGTAATGAGTGAGATGATGATCATTCAGTGGAAAGAGACCCATTGCACACACACGGGTCACAGGGAAGCTCAGTAATTTGGGTCCCGTGAAAGGGACGGGGTCACGATTCGCATGCGGACATTTCCCCACCACGATTTTGTGGTCGACACGGGAGAATACTCACGCGATCTAGACGCTCTACGACGATAACGCACCCATCTTGCAAGATGTCTTTACATTGAGATTGATAACACCAAGCGTCTGTACGCTTATCGATGACGGTAGGAAAACATGGCGCAATCTGGTACTCATTAGATGAGTGGATTAAAGGGGCATTAGAACAGTATTTTAGAGAGGGACAAAACATGAGATTAAAAAATTCAACTACACAAGGAGCTTTAGATAGCATGCGTTAAAACTCAAAAATAGACAGAAGTGATGGTTTATTTTAAGGCTAAGCGTCAAATTCACTTCCAAAGTGAAGGGTTCTAATGAACAACAAAAGACCTAAGGGAATTAGATTAGTGGAGAAACGTTCTTCAAAATGCACATAGAGAGAAGCCGTTAGAAAATAGAAAAGTAACAAAAGATTATGACAAGATGAGGTTACTCTGAATTCAATGCTAGATCAATACTAAATTGAGAAATGGATGACTGCTCTGAGCCAATAATTGCAAAAGTACGAAGCTCTCCTAGAATCTCATTTCCCCTCCACCGAAAGCTCCCATTGTACCAGAATAACAGGAATTAGTGAAAAAGTAACGAATCTGCAAAAATCAAATGGCTCCATTGTTATATCCATTTGAACGAGCCATCTCAAAGTGTAGCCTGGTGTGCCCTACACAGGAGGATGGGAGACGTATGTGATCAAAAAATACCTCACCAAAGCGGGCTGCAGGCCGGGTGCCGGAAGGGTTACAAGCTCCGAACGACCCCCCCTTCACGAAACACATTGATCAGGTGTGGTAGTAAACTTGTTGCGAAGGCGACAATGTTGTGCCGAAAGCACAAATTTACTGACACTCAGTAGACAAAGACTGGAACGTGTCAGCTGAAATAAACCTACACGACACAGGGAGGCGCCGATCGTCAATTGCTGCAGGCCCTCAGGGCTCCCTCACACCCC